TATATATATATATATATATATATATATATATTCTACACGCAGAACAAATTATTTTGCCTCGTGTTGTGATGAATTCATCCTCCGTTAAACCTAATTGTGTGTAATTTTCTGTTGTAACGTATCTTTTCTCTTTTTCAGATGATACTATTTTGAAGCAGAAGATGCATGGATCGTCTTTTGGTCGTACACGCTCCATTTTTAAGCTAGAAATAAATATTTGAAATTCGTATAAATCATGCTCTGTTGAAATAAACTCGAAACAATATTTTGTATTATTATGGAAAAACGATTATATAGATACAAGTCATAAATTTATATAGATGTATTTTAAAATTGCAATTTGTAAAAATAAAAAATCCATTTTATTGTTATTGTATCAATTTTTATTGAACTCAAATGACGTTTATTGTCGAAAGGATGTGTGTTTTTTTTAGAAATATCCTCCCCAGAATTCGGAATTCGTCTTGGCCAGACCTTTGTTCGCATATTTTGATTTTTATGCCCTGTGTGTACACTCGAGTAGTTTGTGTAAGTTAAATGAAAAATACTTCAAATGAGGCAAAATCGCGAGAATACGCGAGAATCGCGAGAATACGCGAGAAATGCGCCACGGCGGAAATGGTCCCGACTTTATTATTTCATGATTATAGATATCCCAGTATTCACGCATACGTATTGCATTGGGTTTACATAAAATCGAAAGAGTTGCGCGATCACAAGAATCGGATATATCAATCCCAGAAATCTCAACCTGCCTATTGCTACGTCCTACGACCCTTATACTGTATGCATGTATTGTATAAACGATTATAACACTAAACAGGTTGCTACTACAGAGTGTCTCGAAAAAACAATCAATCAGCTTCCTAGCCTTCCTTTAATTTACCTCTCCCCCCGGTTCAGCCGTTATTGTTATGTTGGTTGCTATGCAACTGGTAAAACCTGCTCGTCGTGCTCGAAAGTCGAAACGTTTTGCCAAAAAAGGTAAGAGATTTTTAGTTTCGAATACAACATCAAATTTTTAAATTCACAATTTAAAATTCACAAAAACTGTTTTTCTTTTCTTAAATACACAAATTATTTTCTTATTTAAAAATCCTAAAACTCCTAAGTTATAAAAAACTTGTCTTATACTCTTCTGACAAAAGAAGTGTCCGTTCTTTGGAATAGGACATCATGCAACTCTGACTCAGTTCATATTTCCCCGCGAATCAATGCAGCTAGCACAAGCCTAATTTGGTTGTAACTGAAAGCATTTTGAAGTTCATCTCGCACGATTCTTAAGCTAACGTTGTCTCAGCAGCAATAATATCTGCTTCTTCATTATTTAAATTAAATTGTGATGCCAGGTCTTGGTAAGATAATGGGGCACCAGAACAATATCCGTCGATTGCATATACTTCTGCTGTGGCAGTAGCAACGTTCAGGACTCTCGCAATTACCAGAAAAGAATTCTCCCCTTTCATAAACATTTCAGTTGCTTGAATCTTTTTCGATGAGGGCTTATTTTTGCCGTAGAGTGCTCTCAGAGTTTGAATGCTCTGCAAGTCAAGATAAGAGTAATAATTTGTGAAAAAATGTGCAGTTTAGTTCGGAAATATATAAATGTTGCATGACCAGCGAGATTTTCACCAACTTAAACAGCAAAATAAAAGTTGCTCATAGATAAATATACCTTCTCGTTCACATCTGTAGGCCTAGTAGTCATTCTTGCTAAATTACGTATCTGAATTGAAGGGAAAGTAATAACATATTTACATGTATAGTCTAAATGTTCAAACATTGTTTATATATGTTGATTATATAGTTTACTATTGCTTTATTGGCTGCACGAATTTGCTTTTACAAATGTCCTTGAGTTAAAATTGTATGAAGACGAAAGCAGATCTAAAACCTCGTCGATGTCAGGTTTTTAGCCTTTAGAGTTTAGGACGAAACGCGCTACAGCTAAAATAAATATATGAAAGCTGCGAATCGAAAGAGTCTGGCCAAGATAGCAACAAGAAACACCGGAGAGTAATATTTTTCGCATCATTTTTAGATCTTCGTTTTAGAAAAGACTAGTTTTACATCTCTTTAAATTGCATAAAATTACGACATATTTTGACTGACTTTGAATGGCTTTCTTGTTTTCATAACACCGGAAGTTACAAAAAATCAGAACAATATTTATTACCAATTACACCAATTTTACGAAAGACAAAACGATATATTCTTTATATTTCTAGAGTAGTTAAGCACTTACCTGAAAATATAGCAGATTTGAACGGCTTTTCAGCTGATTTTCTCAAAAGTTTTAACTTTTTTGCTATTTTGTAAACGCCATATACAGCTGACGCGTACGCGACAACGTCATTTTTTGCATTGCGTAGGTTTTGAGCGCTTTTCATCGAAAAGACGCGACATAGAAAAAATTCTCCTCTTAATACGTTTGGCACTACCACACTGGCACAGACAGTTCAAGTTAGTTACAAAGGTTGACGAGAGTGCATGGGAGACTGGGAGTCAATGAGAGGACAAATTAGCAATCTATGCATAATATAACTTTTGTAAACAAAGCAAATTTTGTGAAACTTTATTATAATTTTGTATTAAAATGGTCAATTTTTGCGCTGTATGTGGTTGTTGTACCCGAAAAGATATTGTTAGGGAGCATCTGGAGGACACTCTAAGGATGTGTGACGTCAGTGCAATGGGTCTATACGTGGGTTTCCATAAGACTTTTGTTTGGTTCCACACGTGGAAGTGCAGAAGTAGTAGTACTGTAGTACACTGATATACCACAACGGTAAATATAAGGCTCAACATTACAAAACAAGTGTTTGACCACGCACCTGAAATTCCCTCAGGACAAATACACTTGCTGGTCTGCATTTTCTTGTAGGACAAAAAGATCGTCATGTCACCTGTTAAACTGCTCCACTCATTCAGCAAGCTAATTACGTTTTGGCACTCTTTTCCGGCAGGACAGGTGCGTTTGTCACAAGGAAAGAGTCCAACGGATGACACGACGACCTTGGACAATCTTTGGAACGTTGGAAGTTGATCTTCCAACGTCTCGCGGATGTTGTTTGGACTGAAAAACTCCTGAAAATAAAAGATGAATAATGAGAAACGTCATAATGATCTCCCAGAAAGTTAATCTTAATACAATAATAGATTCAGTTCCAGCATTGAGTTTCGTAAACATATAATCAAGTTGACAATTTGTTTAATTAAAACTTTCAATACGAAAAGCCTTCCCTTGACCGATTTATCTCAAGACGGAAGACCTGCTGGGGCAACGTTGGGCAAAGAAGAGACACTTAGATCTCGGATCTGATATACGTAATTCGTCTTTACTGCAGGAAACACACGAACAATCCGTCAACACCAACTACTTGTACAGTTCGTCTACTCAGAACGTACGTAATTCGTCTTGACCGTCCATGTTCGTCTTTTTTTACACTACCGTGTAAGAGAGATGACCCATTACAAGGATGATGTTTCTTTGTTAGATCTACTCCCGATCGATTTCCCATCAATTATTTTTAACAACATTCGAATCAACAAATTAAATAATTGTGTATAGCATGATACCAGGAAAATTCGAGTGTAAATTTTATACTCTTATTTAGACCTAACCAGTAGCAGCTGCGAAAAATGCAACTATGTATATAGGCCTTCTGGCAGCAATTGAATCTGCGGCCCTACGATTCTGGTGCAGTCAGCACTCTAACCAACTGAGTTACAGTACAGAGTCCAGTTGTCGAACTCTAACCACTAATTAATGTATATATACTAAGGTGGCGGCGTGGTAAGGTTTATGGGTTTGGGCATCTCACTCGATCTAAACAATGTTGAAGGATTTGGCAGATGAAAATGTCGAGTGTAAATTTTATACATTGATTTATAGACCTAACCAGGAGCAGGTGCGAAAAGACAACTATTGGCCCAGCTGCTCCCAGATAGCTCTAAAAGTATAAATTTTACGCTCGAAATTCCATCTGCCAAATATCCTTCATCATCAGTTCAATCGAGAGTGATGCCAAAAATCCTGATTGATACCTGTATTGTCTTTCTCGATTGAAAAACTACGAACAGATAATATTGTCGATGTGATCAAATTTGATTTGCCTGCTATCACTAGCGCATCCTACTATAGTAGTACATAAACGTCTTACCTCTTTTCCTTTTTTCTTTACCGCAAACACGATGTCCAGCATATTTTTCGGCGCTGTTTGTATACTCCATAGATACACATTTTCCACAGAACAAGATTTAATTTTTGCCAATGTGTTTATCATAGCAGAAAGCGATGTAGACACAAAACTACCGAGTGTCTTGCCAGTTATTCGTACAGTTACACTGTTGTTAACAACATCTGGTGATATTTCTTTCACACGAACAGTCACTTCAGTCTTAACTTTGTATGTACCGTCTGTCACTTGAACTTGGAGAGGATATGAACCCGGATCTAATACTGACAACATTCTGATAGCCCCGTCTTCCGATCCAATGGAGAACGCTGGGTTGCCTTTTAGTAAAGTAAATTTTAAAATTGCATCGTCGGCTTGGTTATTTACAATGATCTGTCCAATGATTCCTCCGGTAAATTTATGAACAAGCATATTAACATAAACATAATGGGTTGAACATCAGGAGGGTTCACGGTTGGTTTAACGACCGTTATTTCAACATGTGTTTGTGCAGATAATGCTGGTGAACCACTGTCAACTGTTTGCAAGATCATGTTATATGTAATATTGTGTTGAGTTGGAGGTTTTTGAACAAGCAACGCTCCAGAGGAAGAATTTAACTTGAACGCACTGTTTCCACCGGATATGATGCTAAACTTGAACGGTTTGGAATTTCTTGGTCCGTCTTCATCTGTAGGATTGAGTTGTAAAATAGAAGTGCCGAAAGGAGTGCCTGTACGAAGCAACATTTTTATCTCTTTCTCTACTACTGGAGGGTTATCATTCAAATCTTTAATGTTTACAACCAGTTTTACATCCGAAAATAATGGTGGATTACCATCATCTTGAACACGTACCACAAGTTCATACTTACTCACTTGCTCACGATCTAGTTCACCTTGTACAGTAACAATTCCATTCAAAGCATCAATCATGAAAGGATGATCATTTGGTACTGACTTTATAATGGAGAAATGAATATGACTCGAGGTGTCGTTATCAGCAGCAGAAAGAAGAATTACTATCGTGCCGTTATCACTTCGTTCATTTACTGAAGCTTCATAAGATCGCCTACTGAAGGCAGGCTGGTTGTCGTTATAATCTAGCACCTTTATTTTGACTGAAGCTGAGCTGATGAGAATAGTTTTACCAGATGGTTTCACCATAAGAGCTTCCACAGTAAAGATGTGCGTACGCGTAGTTTCATAATCAAGTGCTGACTTCAGTGTAATCTTTCCTGTATTCGTATCGATCTCAAACAACTTATGAATGTTATCAAGTTGACTTGCTATTTTATAAATGATACTGAAATCCTTGCTACTACAGTTCACAGATGCTGTATCAACCACGTATGGAGGTTTAACATGTTCTGAAATGTCATTCTTGTACACGTCCTTGGCAAAAGGACAATTTTCGATGGTTGACACGGTAATTTCAACATTTGCAATGGATGACAGTGACGGCACACCACCGTCTGTAGCTATGACATTAAAAACAAATTTCTCCTCATCTCGTTGTAACAACCTACTCTTTAATAATATCACTCCAGTTTCCTTTTCAATTGTAAAGAGGTCAGCAGTTGATAAATTCATAAAGCCATACCCAATTTTACGGTTCTTTCCAAGATCTTGGTCAGTCGCTTCAACTCGAAGTAAGAAAGCATTTTCTTTAGCATCAACGGCGATCAACTTTATATAGCGAGTTTTTGTGAACTGAGGCGGGCAATCGTTAACATCCAATATATCTATAGTAAGATTGGTATAACAAGAACTGTCTCCGTCTGAAGCAGAAATAAGTAGGTGGTAGCTGGATTTTTTCTCACGATCCAAGGCATGTTTAAGCACAACATTACCTATTAAAGAACAGAAAGTTTAAATGAAAAGCAAACAAAAACAGGCAATTACGTTAAGAGGTAAACTGGGTGGCAAGTGATTGGTTGCGGTTTGAGCATTGGTCACATGGGTGGATATAAAAATAGGTAGTACGTACAGGGAGGTGGTAAGGAGTTGATAGAAATGTGAAAGTCGTGCATGTCTTGGCATGAAACGTAATTGGACTGGTGGAACTAAAGAGTGTTGGAGACGATTGTAGTTGTGTGTATAAGCAATTGTGCTCCTTGCTCTAACTTCTAGTTTCAGGTTACCGAATGAATACCTTACAGAAACCTGTACTTTATTTACTTCATTTTAAAGATCACGTCCTCCTTGAGGCTTACGTTTGTATCAGCTCAAGTACGCGGTAGTCAGGTACGAATAAAATCTTGAATTATCCCACCATGGGTAGGTACTGTTACAGTGTAAGGTAGATAGATGGACACATCAACCTACACGTGCACTGGCCGTTTGTTAGTTGGTAGGAAGGTACAGTAGGTAGTTACGTAAGTGAGTAGGTAGACAGGCAGGTAGATAGGTAGGTACAGTAGGTAGGTAGGTAACGGTTATATGTAATGATTGTGTGTTGTGGCTGTATATAAAAGTCCGAAAGAATCTTTTCTTACCTTTATCTCTATTGATCGCGAATATATTGGAATAACTATGAATTCGGAAGATTATTTTACTGTTGTTATCAGCATCCGTATCGCTGGCATTAATGGTAACAATAGACGAGCCGACAACAAGATCTTCATAGACAGACAGACTCAGACTGGACTGTTGGCAGATAGGTTTGTTATCATTCACATCGGTAATTTCTATCTCAACAAGAGCTGATGCAGTAAATGCTCCATCAAATGCTGTGATGTTCAACAGATATCTTGGAAACATCTCTCGATCAAGTTTCGCACTTAGGTAAATCTTCCTAGAGGCTTGATCAATGTCAAATTTGTTTTGGAGATCTCCTTGTACGATGTAGTATATAACATCAGACTTTGTATCTCTGTCCACGGTATTCAAGACAAGAACTGTTGAGTACACAGGAAGATCTTCTCTTATTGAAACTTTATATACTTGTTGTGAGAAACTTGGTGGTGAGTCATTGACATCGTCAACAATAATCTTAACACTGGTCGTACTGTTCAACGAAATATCTCGTCCATGATCTCTCGCGTCAATTTTAACAATATATGAAGCAACAGTTTCTCGATCTAAACTTCCATTAACACTAAGCCAACCTGTCTTTGAACCAACAGTAAAAATATGTGACAATGATTTGGACTCAGATGCCAGTTGATATGAAACCAAAGCATTTTCATTACTATCCATATCATGCGCTCGTACTTGCACAATGTTACGTCCTTTGGCGGCATTCTCAGGAACGTTTACGGTATAAAGATCTGACTCAAATTTCGGTTTATTGTCATTAGCATCAAGGATATCGATATGAACTACAGCATACGAAGAAAATGTTGACCTGTTTGCCTTAATGGTAAGATCATAACTTTGCACTGTTTCATAGTCTAAACTCAGAGATACTTGCAACTGTCCTGCAGAGCTAATAGTGAAGGTTTCATCTTTATTTGTTCGCACGTTATTGCCAATTTCTACAGAGTAATCAATATTGGATGTGACGGGAATACCTTGATCATCAATAAGTGTAAATCTAGCTGAAACAGCTCCTTGGACAGTTTCAGAAAATGTGAACGAATAACTAGGATATTTAAACTTGAATAGAAGGTTTTGAATAATATATACCCGTACTGGAGTATAACTTTTCAATTTCAAATATCCATTGTCATTGGCGCGTACGTAGAAGTCGTAGACGGATTCCATTGGTTTTCTAAGAAAAGAGATAACCCCTGATGATGCATCAACACCGAATACATACGGTGATCTCTGGCCAACGAGACTGTACGTCAGAGCACCATTATCACCATCATCTGGATCAACTGCTGTCACTCTGATAACGCTTTCACCTACAGAGGTATTGCTTGTGGAAACAACAGCTGTATAGGATGGCATTTGGAACCTAGGTTGGTTATCGTTTTCGTCCAGAATTTTAACCTATAATCAGATTAATTCCATTGTCAATATATAGTACAATAGAAGACGTCAGGTTGTTCTACAGTAAGGGCCAATCTTCACTGAATAACACTCTACGCAATGCTATGTTTTGTTATGACCTATATTTTGGTTAAGGTACAGTACTGCCAAATAATAACTTGTCCCCGCGTCTACCCGCGTCCTGCCTCCAGAACGCCCGCGTCTTGCGTCCACTGTGCACGCGTCCTGCCTCCAGAGCGCCAGCGTCCGGCCTCCAAGACGCCCGCGTCTTGCGTCTGCTCTGCCCGCGTCCTGCCTCCAGAGCGCCCGCGTCCGGCCTCCAGCTAAAAACTGCGTCCGCTTGGATGCAGTCGTAACATAATCGGAAAAACGGACTAATATTTGCATCATACTCGTAGTTTGTCGTGAGAATACAGATCAGTGTCGATGATCGGAGAAGCAAAGAATAAAAAGTTCAATCCGAAAATGAGTTTCATTGAAACATTAGGCATTACATTTAGTATAACCATTTTTTACGTTATACTTAATGTAATGCTTTTACAATGCAATCACACGTATTCGAGTCGCGATTGAAGCGTATGACTGTATATTGGAGCGTAAAATATGTTGGACATAAACTATATAAATATAATGTTGACACATGTAAACTCAGTGAGATCACGACTACAACAAGTATATATATCTCGCAACACATTCATTTGCTACTCAAATTCTGACTTACCTCGTAGAAGACTGCCGATTAGTTGATATGCAATTCTGTATTTGAGTAATGTTATGTCTCCGTAACTCGTCAGTATATTAAAACGAAGATGCTCATTTACAATATACTGTATATAGCCTAGTGCTTTTGATTTTTCATATAAAATACCATTACTACGAGCCACTATATAACTTTATTTACAGCAACAAGTTTTTGTTGTTTTTCCAAAACAAAGTAAATGCACATGGTGATATGTCATACAAATTGATAATTACCCGATACTTTCTGAATAAATTACTTCTCTTAATCCCTTAATGGAATACCTTTACATGTCCAGGAAACAGTCTTTGTGTTTCAACACGGTTCAATGACTGTGACTCATCGTTTGATTTTCAAAGTTGCAGTATAATTCGCTAAAGCCGAATTGAAGAGCTCAGACTAATATCTGACTAATAAAATGAGCTATCGATCGCTTACTCATCAACCAAAACGTATGAATTCGTTTTTTCGAAGAAGATATAAAACCACGTGCATTTTGCCAACTGGCAATGTTAAAAGAATACTGGGTTTAAACCAAACGTTATACGAAGGTGCGAAAGTAGAGGTTCAATACGAAAAGGAACTTTACGAAGCACAAATTCTGAAACTTCACGGTAAGTTTAATATTAGAAATATAAAAATATAGGTCTGCAACGCTTGTATATAAAAACATGAAATCGCTAGCATGAATATTTTCCTATGCCCACGGTTTGTCTATGACTGAAAAGCAAAGCGCGATAATTTCCGACGGTCTACGAAGAGAACTCTTTCTCAGCTGCACAGTGGACGCACACGCAAGCGGCCGCAGACGCACAGTGGACGCACACGACGGACGCACGGCGCCCGCAGGACGGACGCACCCGCGGGCGCACGTGGACGCAAGTACACGAAGTCATTCATGAATTGCGAACGGTGCGTACCACAAGGGCTACTTGGAAGACCGCAGACCAGCTGCTATCGCAGACCCGTACAAGGTTACTGAAGTTGTTGTACGTACCATTTGCAAATAACTTCATCTACTACTGGGCACACATACAGTAATGACATCCATTCTTTGACTTAGGAAACTTGTGTATAGTTAGTGTACTTTAAACACATCGTGATTTTCCACCATATACTTACACAAGAGCAACCTTATGTATAAAAAGTGTAAAAGGTATTGAACGAGATGGTATAGTAATATAATCGGTAAAATGTAGTACAACCAGTAGAAGAGTCATACTGTACCTTCACACTGCAAATTGTCGTTTCTCCACCCTCATCACTTGCACGAACAGGAATAGTGATTGTGCTCATGAGCTCGCGATCCAGAGACCTTTCTGTCGTTATGATACCAGTATTTGGATCAATTTTGAAATCTTTCGTCACTGCTGGACTGTCGATGGCATACACTACCTCACCAAACTTGCCAGAATCTTGATCAGTTGCGGTTACCATGGCAACATAACTATCAGCAGGGTAATTCTCTGTGATCTGTGCTTGGTAAACGTCTTTCTGGAATTTAGGTGGATGGTTGTTAGATTGTCCAACAACAACATCAAGTTTAGTAAACGAGGTATGGTTACCATCAAACACAGAGAGTTCCAAGGTATAAACCTTGCCAAGTGCAATGCCTGGTACTTCAGAAAGAGACACCACACCGGACTTTTCATCTATTACAAAATATCTTGTTCCAGTGCCAGGAACGATACTGTATTTCAATTTTGAGTAATCACTCTCGTCTCCATCTTTGGCAACAACCCTTGTTATGAAATGGCTCGGTCCACCATTCTCCATCACAGTTGCGTGGTAATGAGATCTCTGGAATACCGGCGCATGGTCATTCACGTCTTTCACCAACACCTAGTGGAATTGAAATAAAAACAAAGTTGAGGATTCGGATTAACTTGATCTTGCAAATCCACATAAAACTATCAAACGAAGCCCGACATTTCGAGCAAAAGCACTTGACCAGGAAGTTCGTAACAACGTACGTTGATATGGAATTTGGGGAAAGGAAAGTTACACAAAATGCAGCATTGCGAAATACAAGCACTAAAACAAATAGACAGACAAAGAGAGGAAACGATGATAGGAACATACAGTAGGACGTACGTTCGTGGCCAAAAGTGTTGGGATAATTAGCATTATTCCACGCCTTCGTTTTACGATGAAAGGAACAAATAGAAAATGAATTATCGATTGAAAGTAATTTTTAGCGTTGTACATTGTGTGTTGTGAGAAGGGCTCTCTTTGAGTGTGGGTATTATGCATGCTTTATCTAGAATGTTTGTACTCAGATGTACGTTCTATTGTACACGTAAACAAGAAATGTTATTATTACCGTAACTACAGTTTCGGCAGACAATGATGGCACACCATGATCAGTAATCCGTACAACAATATCACAACGTTTCTGTGTTTCATAATCCAACTTTTTCTCTATCCTTAAAATACCCGTGTCTTCGGTGATTACAAATGATCCTGGTATTACTGAGGTATCACTCACGATCTGGTAAGAGCGTCTTTGATTCTCGCCGTAATCTTTATCACTCGTGTGAACACGCAACAAGCTGGTTCTCACAGGAGAACTTTCTTTTACTTTCACAAAGTACGGAGAATCTTCAATCACTGGAGGGTTATCATTAATGTCTTTAACAAGGACGTGAAGTGTGGCGAGGCTCGAGGCACCGGTCTTTGAATCCTGTGCACGAACTGATAATACGTAGCTTGGGATCTCTTCAAAATCCAATTCGGACAACAAGGATAACTCGCCTACAGAATAAATTCAAATATAGATTCAGGTACCCGGACTTTTGCCGAAAGACACTTTGCCGAAAGACATTTTGCCGAAAGGACATTTTGCCGAATGGACAGTTTGCCGAAAGGACCACTTGCCGAAAATAGAGATGTTATTTTGTCAAAATTTTTGGGACTGTGACTCATTTCTCAACAGTGTAATTCTCAACTATTGTGTAAAATAACCATTATATGGTCATTAGCAGTGCATAATGGTCATTAGCAGGGCATAATGAGTCGTTAGCAGTACATAACTATTGACTATTGGTATACCTTGTTTGTACACCGGAGGACTCATTTGCTAGGAACCTGTTTTGACGTCAGGTCATAAACAAACAAGCGTATATAAAGACAACGACGTAAGCGAATTTCACTTTGAGAATCATGGAATACATTCACAGTTCTCTGGGAAATCGTATTCATGAATAATGTTGAATGATGTTATTCTTTTATATATCGCGAAATTTTGGTAAACTTATCAAAACTTGAAAGAATATAAAACGAAACTATACTTCACTATCAAAGTTCCTGTCATCGAAATCGACAATGACTTTAATCACAGAAACTTTGACCGTGTAAGCGAAACCTTTAAAGTTCAGAATTAAGATATCTCTATTTTCGGCAAGTTGTCCGTTCGTCAAACTGTCCGTTCGTCAAACTGTCCGTTCGGCAAAATGTCCGTTCGGCAAAACGTCCGTTCGGCAAAACGTCCGTTCGGCAAAATGTTCGTTCGGCAAAATGTCTTTCGGCAAAGTGTCTTTCGGCAAAATGTCCGGCCACCATAGATTCATATACTCCTAAATTCCATTAACCTTCTGATGAGTCAGATGGGAACTTCATTATTTTACTTTGCAGACTGTTTTATTTGTCAATGAAAAGTCCTTGAAAGAGAAGGAGTAATAAAGTACAACGGTTATGTATTCTGAAGCCAGAACATCTTTAAAATGCCTATTATGTATTGAATATGACGATCTGCACTGGAAAAGACTTATTATAGAATGAAATTAAGAACTAAATAATGGAGTCATACAAGCGCCTAACTTGATTACGTCGAAACTGGGCTGGTGCTAAATCATTACTAATGTATGATAGATTTCGGGGTTAAGTGAAGCACTAAACCCTTGGAGTAAGACAATAATTTAGAACCATTAAAAGTAACATTCAACAAACTTACCAGAATTAACATCGCACTCAAATTGACTGTAGTTATCTCCTGATACAATGCTGAAAACAGCTTTCCTTTTGGACATCTGGCATGAAGTTGTTTAAACACTCTATCAATCATAGCGTTTTCAGCCAACTCCACAGTATATGACGGTTTCTCGAATATGCATGCATCGCCAGACTCAATCCTGACAGACACTTCAGCTTCAGACTTTAAAGGATTCTCTCCTGAATCTTTAGCTTCAATGGTCAACGTGAACTCAGCTGGAGTAGTGAGACCATCTAACTGACCAAGTACACTTAATGCACCAGAACTGGGATCAATACCAAACATACTGCTTTCATCTTTCTTTATTTCGTACCTGGAAAAAAGACATGATATTGTTATATTGTTATATTGTTATATTGTCATAACTGTCGTCTTTGTAGGTGATACAAGTACCTGAACAATACTAAAACATAGTAGGTTGCTAAATTTCAGATGAAGGGCCTTCGTTCAAAATGTCGAAGCTCATTTTGTACTTTTTAAGTACATATTGGAATTACCTACAAAGAGTACATTTGCATGGTATCTTCGCAATACCTACACTGTGGCACCGATCGTTCGAGAATTATACTGATGAACTAAGATTATTAGGCAAAACGAAAAAAACTTTTGTTATATTGAATGGAAATGAGAGAGATACTACAGAAATATTAGTAGACAAATTGTATGCAGGAAATATTTTTTTGTATCTGCATATGTAATATTTAATTGTTATTGGTTGAATTGAGTGTCTGCTGCTTTCCTATCCATTGTTTTTGGCTTAAAATGGCTTTCCCTAGATCTTCTTGTAGCACTGTAACACCCCCAGAATGCTGTACTCTTTACGTAACCATAGCATGCTTGTTTGAAAGTAATTAGGGTGAGTGCGAACGGGTACAGTACACTCTGGATACGAGACTAGTTGGACAACAGTGGATTAGTCTATTCCACTGAATCTTATTCAACAAATCGATAGATCACACATTACCCACCTGATCTCGGCATTTCTTCCAATATCACAATCAGACGCAGCTATAGTTGCTATAGTGGAACCAGTTTCAGCTCTCTTTGACACCACAAAGAATATTGGTGGCGGAGGGAATGTTGGTTTACAGTCATTTACATCGTCTAGAACGACAGTAACTAAACACCGAGCTATTCTTGGCGGAGTTCGTTCATCCTGGACCATGATAACGAGACGATACGAAGCGATCAGTTCTCGATCTAGTACAACCCCAGGTTTAGTTTTTACTACGCCAGTGCTCTCTTGAATCGTGAACATATCTTCAAAGTTACTAAGACTAAACCGAAGTCTTTCCCAGACGTTATAACCACGGACAAACGGAGTAAAGACTGCCTGTACTTCAGAAATATTTTCACGAGCATGAGTTTGGAAGAATGGTTCGGAAAACCGGAAGCTTGTTGGTGTTATTGGGTTGAATACAACACGAAGTTTGGCGCTGCTTGTCCATTTGCCATCATTCACTTGTACCCCAGCGTTGTACCATCCTTTTTGGGCATTCGAAGGATCCTTAATGAACACCCTACCACTCGAACTATCTACATCTAACAAAGACGGCGTGTCTTGTTGAGAAATTGTAAAAGCGAGGTTACCAAGGTTATCACGATCAGAGGCAGTTAAGGTGGTAATATGTACATCTTTGTACACTGGGAGGTAAACACGGACTTCTATGGTATTACTAGAGAATTTTGGTTTGACATCGTTGATATTTTTTAGATGAATAATCACAGTTGTGATGGTGGATAAAGACGGTGTTCCTTGATCACTCACTTTCACAAGGAGTCGATATGATTGTCGTGTTTCATAATCCAGAGTAACCTACAATGACAAAAAATAAAGGTGTCAATACTTTGTGTAAGCTGCTACAATACATCTGTTATAAAGTCTTAAAATATCTCTTAATATTAGACTAATTTATACGTTGCTCTTCCGTCGTACTTAATTTGTCTTTTAAGTACGCCATCTGAAACGAGCCTCGTGTCATTCATCTGGAAATTCCATATATTATGAGTTATAATAATATCTATATTTCATTTTTGTTTATACAAAAGCAGTTGGCAATACCTTGGTGGTGCGGATTTCTCCCGTTTGTTCACCAATCTTGAAATAACGCGTCACAGCAGAATTGATTATTTTATATTTCAGCTGAGAATTGAATATATCACTATCACGAGCTGAGATTACCAAAGGACGACCATCAGAATTTAAAACCTGGGAGTCTTCAGGAGAATTTTCTTCAATATAACCAGTAAAGAAAGCATGTTCAACCACAGGATTGTTGTCGTTCTTGTTTTTTGTCTCTATATCAAGTGAAATTTCTTGTGCAAATCCACTTCCATCTTCTGCCCTCACTCGTAGCGGGCAGAGAGATGTTTTCTCTGCATCGAGAATTTCCTGTTAAGAAAAGAAAGTTGACTTGATTAACATTTATAGAATTTCACATAGAATATAAAATATCCACAAGCTAAGCATGTACACATGCAGTACTGTTCGGAAATATAATACGAAGGCCTAACCCACTTGGTCATACACAATTACTCGTATATGATTGTCTCAGCCAGAGAATTTACGACGTGGTGCTCCCAATCCAGAAGACCAAAATACACGCAAAACTCCAGAGGTCAGTACTCAAATATTCAAAATCGTACTCCATAGCCTTGGACTTGTCTTAGTTGGTTTCTTGTGGACTTCTACTGTATTTCGTTGCTTATATTCAGGAGAATATATTCAATTAGCCTTTCTCACGCCGCCATTTTTGGGTGGCTTTTCAGCCGAAATGTGCGAGATAAGTCCACATAACAGCGACCTTTTATAATTTTTTTGACGAATGTGGTAAATTTAAATTGTAAATGGTTAGTTTATTTTGAGAAATTGCTTTTCGCATTGTTTTAATTGTCTCCATTGGTTCAATAATTAGATGCCACCCAAAAATGGCGGATATTCGTCATCGTGAGAAAGGCTAATATGGTATATATAGTGAACTCGTACTTGGGTGCTTATATTCAATTACCTTAGTAGATATAACACCAGTAAATGGATTGATCTGAAAATGGTCAGCACATTCAGTGTCCTCAATGATTGTATACACTGTCATCAATCCATTGAAGTTGACAGAGGTAACGTATGTATCAACAGGTTCATTCTCGTACACAGATGCTGAGTATGACGATTTGGCAAAACCAGATTTATAACCATTGCGTTGTAGACGTATCTAAAATAAATACACGTAAAATATCATTATCCTTGTTTTATGAATACATTATGCATAGTCAATTTATCTTAGCGACTGACCGCACACAAAATTGCTGAGCCCGAACCTTTACCATTGCAAATATACCAATGAAAATCGGAGAGTACGGAACGAAAGTCTTGCCGGCAAAATACGTAATCGTGTTTCAAAAAAAATTTTTGGCCTTTGAGACAGAGGGCATCAATTATTATGAACTACGTCTACACATATATGCAAGGACAAATGTTCCTTGTATTTTCTGTATGCTGTATTTACTTCTTTCCCGATTCGAGTCATATCCATACCATCAGAGCTGAAAGAAGAATTGATCCCAGTACACCAATGCCGGACACTTCGCGAAATAGAGGCGAAATTAGGTTGTCACCATGTTACTATATACTGCAAATCTCAGCTCCTTAAACTTTTTCGCCTTAAATTTCATGTACATTTGCCTAATTTATAGCCTTTCAATGCTTTCATGGTTGCCCCCCCCCCCCCCCCCTCACTGCAATATACTCCTAATTTTCCCAAAGTACAGAATGGCAGGAGCATTTAGGCAACCTCTCAATTTTGGAGTGGCCAATAGAAACATGACTACATAGTACATACATGCAGTATACACTAAACACAAGGTGTTGATACTTATCAGCCTGAAAAACATTAAAAACGCTTCGACGTTTCGAGCGAAGCCCCTTCATCTGGAGAGAGAAGGTATATCATCTACAGCATATGCATTACGAGTTTTCGAATTTTTCAGGTTGAAAAGTTCAACATTAGGGTTTATACACCTGTACACTGTAGCAGACTATAGGGCGTTTTCAATTACAGTCGCTTTGCAATTTGAAGCTGTCCAGCGAAAGCCCATGTCCAAAAACGTTCGTGCCCACACGAGCAAAGCGACCGTAATGGAAAACGACTTTATAATAAAGCCCCAAAGTCGACGTTTTCTGCAGCATACTAACCGTTACATTGACAGTCGCAGAAAGACCATGTGAACCATCATCTCTTGCTTCCACAGTCAATACATACTCAGAGATATCTGAAGCTGATAGTACTTTATTTATCTGGATTACGCCACTCTGTGGTCTGATGGAGAAAGCATAGCCATGATTTCCAGATGTTATTGAATACTTCAATATTCCATTCAAGCCTTGGTCCGCATCCTTGGCAATAACCTTAACAACGTCACTACCACGTGGTAGATTCTCCTGAATGTATACGTCATAAGATTGTTTGACAAAAACTGGTTTCCACTCATTCACATCCTCCACATTAACAACAACGTACATCATACTGTCTTTAGGTTTAGATGATCGGTCTTTGATTTCTACTAACAGTACATGTTTTTTAATATCCTCGTAATCCAGTTTACCAGTGAGAAATATTTCACCAGAGTCTTCGTTGAGAGAGAATAGACGAAGAGACTTGGGCTGAGTGGCTGACTTGAAGGAATATCTCAGTCTGGCATTGTCGCCAAAGTCAAGGTCGGATGCTATTGAAAACATAAACAATTTGATAAATAATTACAAAAACTGAAATGACGTATTGACATAGACAAGTCACGCAAGTGAATAAGATACGTCACTGGGGTCGCTAAAGACTGGTGTAGGGAGGAAGATTCATTAGGGAGGAAGATTCATTAGGGAGGAAGTTTTCATACTTAGTTCAACGGCATATCACCAAAATCCAATATTAACCATTCAGCACATTTTTATACACTATGCATGTTAAATTTAAATAAAGCTAAAAGCCTGTTTAAAACAGCTTTTAAAAATAATTGGACGAGATAAGAGTTCTAGAATATTCAGATATAACATAATTGTCTTACTACAGTAATGACAAATTTACTTTTTTTTCAGATTGTAGACGGCAACTTTATAAAGACGGCTTTTTCCTTTTAATCTTCTCGAAAATTCTCGCTATTCGTCTTAATTGCTAAAAATTCCAGATTTTTAAAAGACCTTAAAATGTGAACAATAATGTGTAGGGAATTTGTCACTTCTGGTAACCCTGAGGTCAAGATTAAGATTATTAAAAAAACCGCCAACGTAAAACCTTTTGAGATAAGGAAGGAAGTGATCTAAAAACTTATAGCACTTAACAACCTCTTAATAACATACCGCACTTGAGATCAGCAATACATTGACAATATACTTTTGTTGATATGTCATATGTTGGCGCAGAACGACGTTTTACTGACCGAGATTAATTAACTAACTATTTTTAGCAGATCTGCAAGATTCGCCGTAAACAATAATAGCATTTGTGTTGCATGAAAGAATATGGACTCGTCAAAGATTATGCTACTGTATACACAGGCGGCGCCAATCTCGCAAGGGTCAGTATATACTTTATATAGTATAAATGTATATTTATAGTAATGTATACTATAGTAAAAATATGTCATAAAATATAAATTTTAAAATGAAATTGACTTGCCTATTTAATGGTGTGTGTACAAAGTCTCGGAAAATATTAGTCCAACAAAGGAGGAATAAAAGGAGAACACACACCATTAAATAGGCAAGTCAATTTCATTTTAAAATTTATATTTTATGACATATTTTTACTATAGTATACAACATTACTATAAATATACATTTATACTATAAGTCTATACTGACCCTTGCGAGATTGGGCCGCCTGTGCTGTATATGGGATATGGTTGTCACCATGTGCATGTTTGATATCTTGTAGAATAGTGTAGGATTTCTAAAGTTTTCAACCTCTTAATCGAACCAACTTGGGTCAGATTATGCCTAGTTATTCTAAAACATACGTATACAAACTTATCAAATAGATTAGAATGAACATGAATGACTGGAAGGCACACACGCGAGGCTACTGAAGGGCAGAATGCAGGCCATTATATCTAAAATGTACAATTATATATATTGTACTGTACTGTCTGTACATACTTTACACTATATAAATACAGTACATTCAAACTGGACAGGAAACAGCGTTGAACAGACAATGGTTAATTTAAGTAAAAGTGTAAAACAAATCCGCTGGAGACTGTACATGTGTACCAGTAGAAATATAAATACATGTATTTAGTAGTGACACAAATATACATACATGTATTTAGTAGTAACACATGTATTTATGAGTACAGCAGCTCCAGCATGCTGGAGTGCCAATGCATTACAGTAACAATTATAACTACTGTAGTGTGTAGAAACAAACTGTATAGAAGCATATACTTACCAGAAACTTTGGTAACTTTTTTTCCTGGATCAGCATTTTCTGGTATTGTTGCAATTTTCTCTGTCATTTGAGGTACTGGATAGTGATCATTTATATCCTTGATTTTGATATTCAGCGTGAAGTTGCCAGAATACAATCCATCACTTGCACCAATAATAAGTTGATAGGAAGGTGGTTCAAGTTCTGCAATCACTTCTAATTTATTTCTAAAATTATTCATCCTGAATTTTTGCTCTTCATTGCCAGTGTATATGAAATATGAGGGAGTATCATAGTCCTTATCAATAGCCGACTGTATGTCAATTTTATGACCAACAGGTGTACTTTCTGACAAAGATATTTCCTCGACTTTCTTGGGAAATATGGGAGGATTTTTTCCAGGATTTTGGGATATTTGACTAAATACAGTCACTGACGTGGTAGACGATAGAGATGGTTGACCACTGTCTTTAGCCTCTATTTCTAATTGAAAGGCATCTACATCACTAATAGGAATATTATTATACAGTTGTCCTGACTTAGCATTGATTCTTAACTTTCCACCAGTATTTCCACTTAGTATTCTAAAAGTCAAAGCACCATTTTTACCATTGTCTTTATCGTGTGCAAGAACTTGGCCAAGAAGTGTGTTTGTTGGAAGGTTATTTCTACCAGACATGGAATATTGAACAGTTAGGTCAGTATGGAATTTTGGATGGTTATCATTCTCATCTTGCACATAAATTGTGACCATTGCTTGGTTTGTCTTTCGCTGCTTCCCACCATCAGCGACCGAAACTAGAAGCCTGAGCATTGTTTGATTTTCGAAATCTAATTGTATGTCGGTTGTAGTAATAATACCAGTAGCAGCATCTATATCAAAATGTCCCTTGTCATTCCCTTGAATAATCGCATATGATACATTGCCATTCTCACCAGAATCTGCATCATTTGCTGTTAGAGCAATGACAAATTCACCTGGTTTCGTATTCTCAGGTATACTGCTCTCATACACAGGAGGATAAAAACTAGGACCATTGTCATTTTCATCTTCAACCTTAATGAGAATTTGCATGATACCGTGGAATTGTTTGGACTGCTTGTTAACAACTTGGATAGTTAGCCAATAGAAAGGTACTTCTTCGCGATCTAATGATCCTGTAGTTTTGAGCCAAGCAGGTGTACCTGCGACATTAAACATTGTTACATCTGTTCCATCTATGATAGAGAATAAATATTTACCCCTTTTGGATGCAGGAATATCACTGCCACCAAGTTCTGCAATTTTTTCTCCAGCAGGGCGATTTTCATTCACAACATACTGCGAAATTCCACTATGACTGCTTATCACTTTAAGACTCTGACCACCAGTTCTCTGGATGACAAGGATATTAACATACGTATTTATGGTTAAGGATGGTTTACCTCTGTCACTTACAGTAAGAGATAAATTATAGCTCACTTGTGTTTTTCCAGCCAGTGAACTACTGAGTTTTATAAGACCAGTGTTACTGTCAATTGAGAAAAGTTCAGATCCAAAACTTTTAATCATTGCAAAACTTACTTCTCCGTCATCTCCAGAGTCTGCATCACCAGCAGTGATTTGAGTAATAGGGCTTCCCACTGGAAGATCTCCCATTATGATGACATGTGGATTTGAATGATAAACGACTGGATAATTATCATTGAAGTCCTCCACATTCACAATTATATCTGCTCGAGGGGTTGGCTTATTTCCAAATGATCCATCTAAAGCCAACACCTGGATTTCATAAAGTTTTTGTTCTTCAAAGTCCAGCTGTTTGCTTGTTATCAATTTCAAACCTCCACTTCCAGAATCCACAGAAAAGAGTTTATTGTAATCATTGACTAGCTTGAAGGTAAATCTTTTACTAACCAAAGTATCTCTTGAAATCAGCTTTACAATTGTTGTTCCTGGTGGCAAATTCTCAGAAAAAGAAACATTGTAAAAATCTTGAGAAAATTTAGGTGGATTATCATTTTCATTTTCAAAAACTATAGCCACTTTAACAAAACCAACTTTTCTTGAAACTCCAGAATCCCATGCGGACACATTTAATTCATGCTTTGCAACATGTTCCCAATTCAGACCTGCAATTAGTCTCAGTTCCCCAGTTAGAGCATCAATACCAAAGCAGTGATTTTGTTTACCATCAACAATATAATATGTCAACAGTCCCTCATAACCATCATCGTTATCAACAGCTTTTAATGTTGCTAGTACAGTTCCGACTTTTACATTCTCTGAAACAGTAACGGTTAGCACTTTGTCTGTGAACTTTGGTGCATAGGCATTTCTTGGGGTTTTACCAGTAATCACTGGCTTGACGGGATTTGTGGCAACCTTAGTTTGTTTTGACGTCAAGGCTCGGACATACATATTAGATACCGTGCAGGAAACATGCTTCGCAGTCCGTTGATCTTCAATCATTATTTGCAAAACAGCCTTATTTTGGGACCTTCGTGTTCCATCAAAAGCAGAAACTACTAGACGAAATGAGGTGGGTATACTAGACAGTGTATTTGCAAGAGTCACATAGCCAGAATTTGGATCAATAGCAAACTTGCTATTAGTATTACCTGATGTTAGAGAATAGGATATTTTGCTATTAGAATCAACATCAATGTCAACAGCTTCAATTTGTACAAGTTGTGTACCAACTGATGTGTCAGGTGACAGTTTAATTTGGCATGTATCTTGTTTGATCACTGGAACATTGTCATTACGAGCTTTTATTCTAACTGTAACAACTGTCTCAGCTTCTTTACGAAATGGTGATCCATTGTCAGCAACTCGAACAACAAGGTAAGCAAATTCTGGTGTCCCAGTGTCCCGATCAGACACTTGTTTGACAGAAATCATGCCAGTATTTGGATCAATTTTAAACTGACTAGAGTCATTCATCAACCAGTAAGTGAGCTTTCCATTGTCACCAGCGTCATCATCTGTTACTTTAACTTCATAGACATTAGCATGGAGTGCCATGTCTTCTGATATTTCCACATAATGACTCTTTGACACAAACACAGGTCCATGGTTATTGAAGTCAACTACATTCACATGAACAATAGTTGACCCAGATACAGTTATATCACCAGAAATTTTATAAGAAACTTTCAATACATAACTTGATCTAACCTTAGCATCCAAAGGTACACCCAACTTTATTTTGCAGGTGTTTCTTGGAACTATCAAAGTAACCCCTTCAACAATAGTACAAGACATGTTGGACATTGTTCCCAATGTCTGGGGTTTTAAATCAATAATGGTGTAATCAATTGGCATCATTTCCGAAATTTCCACAAAATAATCATCTGCAATGAAAGTGTTGTTCTTCAATAAAGAATCGTTCAGGCTGAATCGATGTACTTTTGTTGTACTCATTGGTGGTTTACCTCTATCTGTTGCCTCAAAAGTGATTCGGAACCAGCAGTGGTGACAGTCAAGTGACCTTAGTAAGTATAATTTGAAAACTGCACCATCTGGGGCAACTCGTTCCAGTCCAAAATTTCCATTTTCATTCCCTGACAAAAGTTTCAACTTATTAATTTTGCCATTCTTACCTTGGTCAAGGTCGCTCACTGTTACTATAGCAATTGCCTGTTTATTCCCTTTACCCAGTCTTTTATCTAAAACTGTTACATCTATCGTTGGCGCATACTGGTTGACATTCAGTACTTTGATGGTAATCTTACATGTGTTATCAGTAAAGGTTTGCAGGTTGGGTTTGGAATCCCACTTGGTCACTGCTGCCACCAGGTCAAACCTGTTTATCCCCAATGGTAAGGATTGCTTCAAGAATAGGATACCATTGACTGGGTTTAAAATGAAATATTTTGATTCCTGTTTTAAGGAAAAATAACTTTCCCCCAGTGTTTTACATCTTTAGTTTTCAATTGCGTAATCAGTTGGAAAAGCGGGAAATTATTGGGAATGGTTTCCGAAATCCGTGTCTTGTTAAAACGCGGTTCAAAGTTTGATGACATTCGCGTTTGTATAAACACCTGTGTTGTATCCACTGTTCTTTTGTCAATCTTAGCTTCGACATTCAACAAATATGACGCACATCGCTCCTCGCTTAACAGCCGCTTTGTTTTTATCTTCAGTGCGAAAAAGTTTCCATAAAGTTCACCTTGAACATCAAATAAATTCGTCCCTGAACAATTAACGCCAATACGTCGTGTTTGTTGACCAATTGCACTTACTGCATACTCGAGTACTCCATTAACCGCAGTATCGTCCGCAATATAAATGCCCATTTTCAGGGCTGATATTACGTAGCTACTGACCACCGAGTATTCATTAAACGTTGTTCTGTATAGGCCACCGCGGGTAAACTTGTTCACTTCCCTTGCACCTTGCATTTCAAACAGTGACAGCGGGCTTTCCCGAACACCAAAATTATTTCCATAAAACCCATGGTCTGTATTTCCACTATGAACTCCATCCAAAACAAGTAAAATCCAAGTCAAGTAAATAACTCGAGCCATCCTTTCAACAAATGTCTTTGAAAACACTCTGAAATGAAGTAGAATGAGTTAAACAATGTTTGAAATTGACATGTTGAACAACAACATGTCACGCTGTGGTCGCTTGTTGTGGTTGTTTTATAAATCCACCATGAGATCAAAATTTCCACTTCATATGTCATCACAGAGGTACATATTTCCAACGAACTATCGTCAATCGATTAAATCTCACGTGAAGACCATATTAAAACAACTTTAAGATAATGCCGTGTGTTAAACAAGGGTAAATTGCAATAAAATCCTTGCTTGTTTCGCCACACGGGGCAACACAAAATTAATTACAGCCAGCGGACCGCTTGCATAATTAATCTTGGGTGATTAAACATTCCGGTCGTAAAACAAATACAATAAACAGAAGAGAGTGAAACGGAAATTCGCTGTTTTACTTGAGTAAGACTTAACTAAGTAAACAAAATTCGTTTTACATTGCATGTCTGGTTTACATTTTATCTTCGAATGCTTTCAACAGATTAGTTCAAAGTGCTCTAGACTCTCTAGTGCATACTGTCTGATCATGCGCTGAAATGCTGAATGACTTTATATTACCTCGCTGCTCGCATCCCTAATAACAATTTTTTAGCCATGAAGATTATGAAGGGTTTTGTAATCAAATTAGAAAATGTTGAAGCGAGAAAAAGTTGAAAAAGTGGTCTCCTTTAGCTTTAGGTTTTTTAGGTCATATATAAGGATTCATGGAAACTATATATACTTCTGGGTATTCACAAGATTTTGCCGAATTTTAATTACATCAGAATACAGGGTGTATCAAAAAAAAGGTAATCGAACTTCAGCGCGCTATTGTATCCGAATTACTCTGCATATGAACGAGATTTTAACACATTCGGAAAGATCATGCTTTTAGCAGTTGAATGATATCTTCTTCATGCCAAATGGATAAAAAATGAGCAAATACAAATTCGATAAAAAATGTTAGTCAGAATCGCATATTTTCACCGTTGAGAGTTGGGTCTAAAACCATTGAAAATGAACTCCCTTTGGTAATTAAGTTGATGAATTTCACTTCATTAAACTACGCACATCTTCATAATTATTATTAAGTAGGAATAAATTTTAGCTAAGCTACGACACGTTGGTGATTAATTGCTTTTTCTTTTGTTATGCATTGTTTTAATTAGGCACAGAGGTGAAAATATGCGATTTTGACTAACATTTTTGATCAGCCTCGTACATGCTTATTTTTTCTCCACTTGGTATGAAAAGCATGTCATTCAATAGCTAAAAGCCTGATCTTTCCAAATATGAAAACCAATTGTTCATACGCCGAGTGATTCACGTATAATAGCGCGCTGAAGTTCGATTACCTTTTTTTTTATACACCCTGTATTATATTTTCAATTTGTGAGATTCTTTGCCTTGGCTTTGCCACCACACTAGCCACTATATTATCTGAAATAAATCGATTAAGTTCCAAACGAAATTACCAGTTTAAGATAACCAAAATCGCCAGGCCGTCCATTGTTTTTAGACCAACACGCTCCTTGCCGTTCTTAACAAAATGTTAATTGAAACTTTTTAAGATTGGCATGCAATTGATGCAAATTAAACAGTTGACGTGAAAGAGCGGTTTGCCGAATGGAATCGTGCCATGGAATCACCTTTATCGTAACATGTACTGATGTACACCCACTCGACTCTCAAGCTATAACTTTCTCATCACTTTTTATGATGCACTTATACCATAGAAATAATAGACATGTCTATTATTTCTATGACTTATACTAATCACAGTTAATAGATTTAAAACAGAGGACAAATATAGCATGGTATTGCTATAAATAGTTGTAGTATATTTCGAGATATTTTTAATGACTACAATTATCGTGAAGACGTATTAACCCCGGCCTTCTAAATTGGTGAGAAATAGGTTACTGTCACGATTTCGAGATCAGTTGCAACATGGAGTAACCTGGATAGTCTGAATTAACGATCAATGGTTTTGAACGTCCTAGCCAGGTATTAAAATAAGGACTCTTTACAAGGACAGACTTTGGCAAATTCTCAACAGGCTTCAGTTAATGTTTCTTGTCCGGTATATGTGGGACAATTCGTTAACTAAGACATATGGCTGTGAACAGCAGCGTAGATCGAACTAGGTAAAGGTTGTGCCATAGGATATTCTGAAATCCGAACAAGCTTTCGTTGGTAGATACCTGAAAATATATAAGGAGAATTTCAATTTTAAAATTCTCCTTATATATTTTCAGGTATAGTTACATTCCTATACCGAAAGCTTGTTCATTTTATTGGCACTACCTATATACACTAGCAAAGACTGTTCATGATTATATTCTGAAATCACTGAAATCGAATACATTATGAAAGCGATTTTAGCCGATTTGGAGTGCTGTCTCGTGAAACTTTTAAAACAGTTTGTCAACTAGAAACTACTTGATTCAGCCACTGTCAATTTTACAACTTTCCAACATCCTGGCAATAAATGAGTGCAGCCATGTACCGGTAAAATAGTTTTTACCCGTTGTTGTCAGAAACACACATTTCAATTTAAAAGGACACATTTTCTATATTCATGCACAAGGACACAAAGTGTGTCAAAATATACTCTTATTTTAATGCGCACGCGTACTTTGCAGTATATAAAATTTAAAATCCCCAAATCTCATTCAAATTAATTCAATAAACAATACAATAATATTCAACAGGGAATATAGAAAAGCGAAATTATAATGCAATGGTAAGTTTACCATAAAAATGGAAATTCATGTCAGTTCTAATGATCCTGACCCACACAACCACCCCACCTCAACCCTAACCCCACCCTAACCCTAACCCTAACCCTACTCTATAACCTGGGAGTCAAGATGCACTATTTAAGTTAGATAACGGGAATTTAATGATCATCCAGTCTCAGTAATACCGACATTTCTCAATTGAGAAATATGCGGTAATACCGGGTGGAGAATTGGTGACACGGGTATGCACTAAGTACCCGGACACTCCAAAACTCTTTGAACTCTTTGACAAAAAGTCCATGAAGTCACAAAAATCACGAATATATGCTTGACAATGATAAACGTTCATGAATACACTTAAATTTATATTACGTCTGAATTGAATGTAAATCTGAAAGAATACGAAGGAATCGGCATTATATCTGTCTATAGTGTAATTTAATAAAATGTTGTGCACTAATCCTCGTACCATGCACTCTATTATGCACAGATCATCATTCTTATCCATGTAAATTAGTATATTATATAAATGCGTAGAACTGGGCTAGTGGTATAGGTATTAGGTAGGAACATAGACCTGCATGCTTGGGTATATCGAGGGGCAAATCACTGCTAGAAAGCGTACGTACGACCTACGGGCTTATTTTCAATGTTCTGGTAAAGCTATGCATGCAGTAAAATGCAATTATAATTTTCCGAATAGATAATAAAATGAATTATCATTGTTCAGTAGAAATGTTCGTTCTGCAGAGCAGTCGTCAGAATCCGGCATATTTACATGGGAGCATGCTTCATATATAACTATAGCTGTTCCTATATAACTAACTATTTTGTTATCAGCTATATAGCTCTGTAGAAGAGGTATAGGGTCTGTATGAATTCAGATGAAAAGACTGATAGGTTAATTACAAACTGTTAGAATCTTCTCAACAATTTCTCAAACTTGTCCTTCGAACTACATATACATAGTAATGATTATCCATGCATCTTATGTAGTTAGGCAACACATGGATAAAACCCCATAGGCATAGAGCCTTCGCTAATAAGTTAAAAATATTAGGAAAAATCAGAATAAAAAATGATGAAGTAGTGAAATATGAAACTCCAAACGTCACACGTTTGTCGTTCTGTCATGACGTTGTCACTGTCTGAGTGAAAAGTGGGCCGAATGAAAAATAATAACTTTTTATATAGCTCCCATATCGGGAATTATGGTTCAAAACAATCGATCATATAGTAATAATTTTTATCAGTTTTCACAATATTCACCATGACATTAATATTACACTTTACAGTTATTTCATGTGAAAGATAAATAACCTAAGTTAAATTTTGTACTTACTGTCTCAACTCTCAATATTACGTGTCGTATTCCACTTTTAGTTGAAAACTGTCTCAACCGGACCCACAACGTGCAATTAATTCATACAGCATGCCCTTGTCGGGCCTTGGCCTTGCTCTGAGACGGCTTTAACCAGCATCGCATGTTTATGGCGCAGCCTTCAAACGTAATGCATCATCAATAAAGACAATAAATCATTTAATCTTGGCGTTGTAAAATGTTTTGGTACAATACTCTGTAGGACACAACAGGAAAAGCTGCATGCGCTGCTATTTTGATCAACTCCTATAGGGCGAATCCGCCGGTGTGCTGCTTGCCCTTTTCAAAGCCAAACTTATTTTTAAACTATACCAGCTATAATAAGTGTAACGACTGTAACCACAGACTAAATTGATTCTTTGAAAGAAAAACTCACCTATATATACTCAGATATCCTTAACTCAGCAAAATCCCACAAACGTGCGTCACAAAGACTTGCCCATTGAAACTGACTTTTTTTAGCGCAAGCGTGATGAATTTCACGTCAAGCTGTGAGTTAATTAATCTTAAAGCATCTTATTTATGGCAGAAAACAAAACTATATTGCGTTGCCTGTTGAATGCTGGCCACAAACATTTAACCATTAGATATATATACAATCCTGACGGCAACAATTGGCTTTTCGTAGAAACTGAAATGTGTCGGATGGCATAATTTACTGTACAACGTCAACGAATTCAAAACCGTACTCGCATGCCGTATGTAAACCACATCGAAAAATAAACACTACTTCAAAAACAGTCTCCACTAATTTGTTCAATTTTGATTGATTATATATTTGCATTTTAAATAATTTAGACATGCTCTTTGACTTGTTCTAGTTGATGCAAATGATCAGTATATATAAATATCAAGTTTAATTGTCGCAA